GGAATGGAGACCTGTAGGAGATTATCGAGCATTGAACGCTCAAACAATAAAAGACAAATATCCTATTCCATGCTTAGCCGATTTTACTGCTGCATTGCACGGTACTAAAATTTTTAGTCATGTCGATCTGATAAAGGCATACCATCAAATACCAATTAACCCAGCCGACATCCACAAAACCGCCATATGCACACCATTCAGTTTATTCGAAAGTACCCGTATGCAATTCGGCTTATGCAATGCATCCGCGACTTTTCAACGTTTTATAGATGAAGTCACGCGGGATTTAGAAGGTGTTTACGCTTTCGTCGATGACTTGCTCATAGCCTCTAAAGATTCTGAGGAACATTGCAGGCATTTGAAAGCTTTATTTTTCAAACTTCAGGAATATGGACTTTGCATAAATGTTTCAAAATGCACCTTTGGTCAAACGTCTATTGATTTCTTAGGTTTTCACCTTAGTGAAAACGGAATTGAACCTCTTCCTGACAAAGTCAAATGTATTTTAGAATTTCCTCAACCTGCCACTCTCACTCAGCTTCGCCGATTTTTAGGCATGTTTAACTTTTACAGATGTTTCATACCTAAAGCAGCACATATTCTTTCTCCTTTAATAAAATTGTCAGAAGGCTATATTAATAAAAAGAAACCTCGTTCTCGTGTTCAGGATTCATCCCCACAATTAAATTGGAACGAGAATGCTGAACAAGCCTTTATTGCTGCCAAAAATGCCATTGCTCAGGCTACCCTTTTGAGACACCCTATTCCCGGAGCCCAGCTAAGCATCTGGGTAGATGCCTCAGACGTCGCAATAGGCGGCACACTTATGCAGTTGTCTCAACAAACATGGGAACCTATAACATTTTTCTCTATGAAACTCAATAAAAGTCAACAGAAATGGTCTGCGTACGATAGGGAATTATTTTCTATTTATTCTGCAATTAAGAAATTGCGACACATGTTAGAGGGCAGAAATTTTATAATTTATACAGATCAGAAACCGTTAATATACGCTTTTAAACAGAACCCTCATAAATGTTCACCTCGACAATTGCGCCATTTAGATTTTATTTCTCAGTACTCTACTGATATTAGGCATGTGCAAGGTTCAAAAAATGTTGTTGCTGACGCTCTTTCAAGAATCGAAATTGATTCCATAACAAAATCTCCATTTTTGGATTTTAAAAAAATTTCGGAAGCTCAACGGCATGATCCGGAGGTACAAGACCTTCTCAAAAACAACACATCATCTTTGAAACTGGAATTTAAACCGTGCCAATATTCTGATGGTAATATTCTTTGTGACATATCAACAGACATTCCTCGTCCATTTGTTCCGAATTCCTTTCGCAGACTCATCTTTAATCATCTGCATAATCTGTCACATCCAGGAATTGCAGCTACTACGAAACTTATTTGTTCTCGTTATGTATGGCCCGATATGAAACGTCATATCAAAAATTGGGTGAAATCCTGTGAATCTTGCCAAAAATCGAAAATTACTAGGCATACTAAACACCACTGGGCACATTCTCTCTTCCTGATGCACGTTTTTCAGAAATCCATATGGATATCGTCGGACCGTTACCTCCATCAGAAGGCAACGTGTACCTTTTGACTCTAATAGATTTTCCAGATGGCCTGAAGCCATTCCCATCCTGGATATGAAAACGGAAACCATTTGCAGAGCCATCTTCAACTGTTGGATATCTCGTTTTGGCTGCCCATCGATCATAACAACAGACCAAGGTTCTCAAATGAGATCCGCACTTTTTGCAGAATTCACGTGCATTTTGGGTACGAACAGAATCACAACAACAGCCTATCATCCAATGTCCAATGGCATTGTTGAACGATTTCATCGACATTTAAAATCTTCTCTCAAGGCTCACGAGACCAATAACTGGACTGAAACACTACCAGTTGTTATGCTTGGTATTCGGACAGCCGTAAAGGAAGATCTACAGTCATCTTGTGCTGAACTGGTGTACGGCACAACTCTCAAACTGCCTAGTAATATGATAACGTCATCTAAGATATCTCCGTATGACACACAATTTATCACGAATCTTCGGCATAGAATGCAACAATTGAATCCAATAGCAACATCTGCACATTGCCAAGAAAAGTGTTATGTAAGTGCTACCTTAAAGTCGTGTACGCATGTATACTTACGTGTCGATCGAGTAAAGCCACCTCTTTGCCAACCATATACAGGTCCGCATAAAGTCCTTTCTAGAACGGACAAAACTTTCACAATTGATATTAACTGTCTGAAATCTACTGTGTCTATAGACCGTGTGAAACCAGCCTATTTGCTTTCGGACTCTAAATTGCCTGAACTGAAAACAAATAAAGACTTAAAGACAGTTCAGCAGAATAAATCTGCAAACGAACTCTCTAAGACACAAACTGTCACCAGATCGGGAAGACATGTTCACTTCCCTAAGAAACTTGCTTCTTACACAACAATTTAAAATACTTTTTTAAAATTCATATCTTAACATATTTCTTGTTATTTCATGTTTATTATATGTGTCAATACCTTGTTATATACTGAATTGCATTTTCATCTTTTCTAATTTTATATTCTAATTTTGTAATCATGTAAAAAATACCCGACAGTCCGGATCCTATGAAATAATTTCATAACCTATGTTGTTCCTTTGAATAGCCATTAAAGGAACTGGGGGGAAACTCTGTGGTGATGGCGATAAGGAGTGCGCCTTGCGCCCTCCGATAAGTTTGGCAACCCTAGAGGAGAAGTTTCTTATGATTAGCGAGGAGAGCGAAACAGGCAGGCTGTCGGGGAGTATGCGCGATGTTCCTAAATAAAGCTTAATTTTTATTGTGCACTATGTCTTGTTAATATTTTATATTAATGCAGTAAGAACATAATCTGTGATATGGAATTCGAGGATAGGTGGTAAAACATATAGGAAGTCACCATACTTTTAATAAAATGTTCAATTCCTACGGCATGTTATACTTCATTAAAATCTAAATATGCACCTTGTAAATAAATAAATAAAACACTCAGGTAAAAAATAAAAGGTCAGAACAAAACAAATTAAAAACTTTAGCAAAAACTCATTGATATTCTATAAAATGACTGGATATTTTATGCGGTACCTAAGTTTCATACAATACCAATACAAACTGGTTAACATTCACTTTGAATTATTAACCGCTTAACAATTTTGCCCATATGTCACACAGGCAACCCTTTTTAGTGCAGTATGACTTGCCCCTACGTGGCACACACGTCTTATTTTGAAAGTTTAGTTTTTGACTATTATTTATTGGTACTATTCGGTTTCGAGGGCCGTAAAAAAATTGCAGCGAAAATGTATGCGCGAAAGCGCCAAATCTAGCAAATACGCCCATTTAATAGCGTGCCAAATCTAGCGTATGCGCTGATTTCAGATTGCGTAAGTTTATATAGTTCTATATTTCTGAAGACACCATTGAAATACTAGTTTAATTTTTAATTCCTTTTTTTGATATCCTATGAATTTAACAATTTGGGAATTGCCTATGATGAAAAGTCTGTGATAGAATTTTGGGTAAAGTGCAGAATCACCCACTGCTTGACGCGTTTTTAAGAATTGCACATACTCGGTATCCATGTACACATCGACTTATTTTCACTTGAAAAAAATCCCAGAATTTCACAAAAATGGCACTGCGCACACACCTTTGACTTTATCTATGTACACATCGACCTATTGTCACTTAAACAGTAAAAGAAAATTGACAAAATTCCAATTGTTTTTTCCCTTGTAAAAAGCGGCAAAGAAATAAGTGGGCGATCCTGCACTTTACCGAAAATGTTTTCAAAGAAAAGGCATCATTCATTATAGAAAAATTATGTTTGAACAACCAACGAGATGAGATTATGCTTTAGCGATAACTCGGTAGCGAAATATTATATGAAATTAACCTTTCATCTGAATTAAAACATCAATATTTAGATAGTTATTTATATTATACTTCTTTTCTTGCGTTAGGGTTGCCGCAATTACTTTTGGCAGCACTGGCATCAACAATAAATTGGCGATTTTTTATGGTCCTCGAAACTGAATAGTGCCTATTTATTTTAGTTTTTCTGTTTTTAGATGATGTTACCTAACTGTAATAACAAGTCTGTGTTTTTTTTTTCTTTTCTTTTGCAGTAAAACATCTGCTTTCTTACAGATACATTGTGTTGAAATATTTCACTAAGGAAAGTTTTATTACAAATTAGTAAACTTTTATAATCTTACTATTAAAAGCATATGAAACAACTTTAAGTTAAATAAATGTAATAAGTGAGTTTAAATAGTCATTTGCTCCTAGTTTTATAAAATATGCTAGGAAATTCTTCCTGTATCATTCTGGTTTTAAAATAGACCATACCAAGATGGATTTGGATTGGATTATTCAATTATGGCAAAGCACACGAGAGCTATCTGCCTAAAGGGAGAGATGCCTTCATGGAGGACTTTCTAAGGGAAATGGCTCGTATACATGTTACACATGGGGAAAACCATGAAAATGCCCTTGCAGCCAGCCCGTTAGCGGGATTCGAACCTCGGACCAAACTACCAGTGTTCAGCATCTTTACCGCTCGGCCGCTGGTGGACACCCATACCAAGATGAATATAGTTAAAATAGGAAGTTAAAATTTTCAATGTGCAATAAATGCAAAATGTAAAGCTATGTAAAATGTTTATTATTAATTCCATGTGCTAAAAAAGCCAACATTATAGGGGTATTTAATATAAATAAGTTTATTGCTCATACTTACATATGTGAAAAAGCTTACATTACGGGGATAATTGTAATTTTTATCTCTCTCTATATATACACTTTATTTTTTGACATAAGACTGATTTTTTTAACATAATTCATCTAAAAATGCACGTTTCTTTCAAATTCTGTAGTAAAAAATACAAAATTTTTGGAAGATTTTCAGAAATTTATTGAGCTGAGAAGTCATTAAGAAAATCAGTACATACCTTTAAGGTAGTTCCTTTTATCATTACTTTCTGCCTATCAGGGGGAACTCCAGTGATTGCATACAACTGTGCTTTGAAAACGATAGGCTCTTCATCAGTATTTACTTCTACATCATTAAACATTTCTTTGCCCCATTTTACTTTCACTATAAAATATATGCATATGTTACACAGACAATAATTATATGAAGTATAATTATAGATTATTATGTATAATACAAAAAAATTAACCATGGCATTGTTTATGACTAATAACACAGATTTTTCCATTCACTTAGTGATACTGACTACTAACAACAACATAACCAAAGATATATAAGGCTTGTTCAAAAAAAAAAAGATCAATTCTTGCTATTCCAGTTTTATTGCTAATTATACTGACTTTCCACCACTATCTCCTTCATAGCAATACCCTCTGGTGTCAACATGCCATTGCCACCATTTCTTCCACTTTCTAAAAGCCTGCTGAAAATTACTTTTTCCAATACTGTCGTTGCATTTTCCTGAATTTCTTCTACGGACTGGAAATGAGATCCTTTCAAAGTGGTTTAAGTTTGAGAAAGAAAAAAAAAAAAAAAAAAATCTAATTGGAACAAGTCCAGAGAACATGGGGCCAAAGGAATTAAGCTGGAGCATTATCATGATGCAAAATCCAGATCTGATTCCCCCCCCCCCATAATTCAGGTCTCTTCCTAAGCAGAGCCACTCTTAATCATATTAGAATTTTCTGGTAGACTTCCTTGTTTTCCATCTGACAATGTGTCTGACCATACATTAAATATCCCTATAATGTTTTTCATCAAATTCACAATACAGTCTGAAAATATTGGGTGTCAGTTGATGTGAGATGTCGTCAAGTCCTTGGATCTTTGTCAACTGAACTTCTGCCCTAAAATGTTTTAACATCGAAATCAATCACAGTATAGTGCACTCTTGCAGTCGATTTTGTGCATTTGGTTAAGTGAAGATTTTTGTTTTACAAAGATAATTGTGGTTCAAAATTTCTTTTAAAGATATTTTTTGGTAAAAAGAGGTGCAAGTCCCAAACATAATTGTTGGCCCTAAATCTAACTACAGCAAACTCATTCTTAACAAATATGAAGCAATGAAAAGTATAATTAATGAAACTTGCTCAAATGAACTAATTTTCACAGCAGAACATTACTTCGCAGCAAGCAAGACAATAAGATTGTTTCTTATTGCATTGCTTGCTATTAATATTATTGCTTATTATTAAAATTCTGGTCTTATCATAAATTAATAATACATTTTTATATTTTTTGCAGATATTTAAAATATTTATTTTAAATTTTATCATTTTTATGACATTTTAACATTTTTATATTTTCTGTACACAATTTCTTTTCATATTGATGGTTAGTGATAGCATTTTTCTATCAAAATAATTTTCAGACAGGGCCTGGTTAATCGAATTGGCTTCTGGATTAAGCAGTAATTATGTAACATTGGGACTCCAACATAACTTGAGTTAAAAACATGAACACATATTCATGAAATTATGTGTAGTTAATAATGTCAAAATAAAAGTTAACAAATTTCATTAACTTGAAATGAATTACATAAGAAAAGTACAGTACTGTGTGGCTATTGGTAGGTACATATGTACATATCATGTATATTTTGCAACATCTTCATTCTTTGAAATGATGCATAAGAGGTATTGTGGCAATGTATAAGAGGCAATGCATAAGAGGTACTATGTCATGATATTTTTTTTTTTCCGCAGGTGTATTTTCAAGTTTTTTACTTTTGCGACCTTTTGCAACAAAACCAAAGTCTGTCTTTACTGTGTTTTTCCTCAATTTCACAGCCACTATCAAATATTTTGGTTAGATTACATTGAAGGGTGTCCCTTGTATTATCACAAAGTTGTTGTTTCATTTATTGCCAAGTTGTTTCATTTATGGTAACCCCAGTAGTTGAATGTTATGGAAACCCTATTATGATGCAATTGGCTGCGTGATTGCGGTAAATTTTGAATTATGGGAAAAGATTTGTAAGGACTTGTGGTGTGTCTTGGTTAGGAACTGCATTGCTTGTTTTACAGTTTAGACGGTTGATGGCTGAATGTGGTAAGATTAATTCGAAGTTTCTGTACAATTTGAAAAGAAAGGGGAAAAGAGAATTAATTGACCGCTGTGGTAAATGAAGGTTTACTTAGTAGCTATTATTAAGTGTCCTGTTTGTAGGAAGGAAATGCGTTATGGTCGAACATCGGATGATACTAGTGCTACAGAAGATATTTTTTACTCTTATTTTTGTGAATTTATGTGGTGATGCCAATATATAGATTCTAGTTCAGATAATTTTATGAAGTTTCTAGGTGCTGTTAAGGAATTTTGTTTGACTGAATTTCCTTTTGTGTTGTGCAAAGATGAATTTCCTTTGTTATGTTATTTCATTGTTTGATTTAAAATGTAGTTTACGCTGCTCCTTTGACTTTTTAAGTGAATATAGATCGATGTGTACATGGACAAAGTCAAGGCAATGCGAAATGCCTAGCTTGTGCAATTCTCTGAATTTTTTTTTTAAGTGAAAATAGGTCGATGTGTAGACAGATAAAGTCAAGAAAGTGAGCAATGCCAGGTTTGTGAAATTCTCTGATGTTTTTTAAAGTGAAAATAGGTCAATGTATACATGGCTACCAAATTTGTGCAATTCTTTGACTTGTTATTTTGGCTTTGTGTAGTGGTGTTTTTTGCACCCAAAATAACAAGTCAATTGCATGATTGCGGTGAATTTGACTGATGGGAAAATATTACTTATGTGTCAGATGTTGGTTAGGAAGTACGCTGCTTATTTTGTATTTTTTTTTTTTTTTTTTTTTTTTTTTACATTGTAAAATGCCTGCTGAAGGTATGATTAACCTGAAGTTTCTGTACACTATAAAACAATTGGAAAAGAAAACATTGATTGACTGATGTGTAAATGAAAATTTAAGTGGCTTCAGTTTGGAAACCGTAGCCCAAAGCAACACAATGGAAGGTATGTGGGGTGTAATAAAAAGGGATTTTTGAAAGAAATGCCATCGACAAGCCAGCAAGTAGCACAGAGAATATTTTTCATTTTTACTTATGAGAATTTATGTAGCGATGGCAGTATACACATTCCAGTTTAGAAAACTTTAAATAGTTTTTGGCCCCTGTTAAGGAATTCTGTGTCTCACATACCGAAGAAACAGAAATTTTTAAATAAGGCAAGCCGATATTTCCTTTCTGTATTGTGTAGATTACATAAAATGTATTTCCATTCTTGCTACATCCTTGTTTGATTTAAAATGCAGTTTATTGAGTTTATATATTTTTTTGATTTAATTATGTTTTATTATATTATGTTTTGAGTGCCATTTTACTGGGAAGAGTGTTAGATGTAAACAGGAATGGCACCAAAAAATCGGCAATTTTCGCCAAGAAGTACTCTGAAATATATTTTTACCACTGCTTTAAGTAAAAATATATTGATGTATATATGGATGAAATAACAGAAGAAGAATTTCTAAAAAAAAAGAAGAACAAAGAAGAAAGAAGAAGAATTTCTAAAAAAATTGAGGTATTTTATTGACATATTTTGCCTTTTAAATTTTATCGATTACTTTTAAATGGAATTCTTAGTATATTGCCATTTTCAAAATTGTTGTTGCCTTCCAGACATTATCTTAAGAACAAATTAGTCAGCAACAAGTTCATGAATGTTCTTCAAATGACAAACAAATTCATGACTTTTTGATAAGGATGCTGAAAATCAGAAAGTATGCTTTTTGTTTCCTTTTAGCATGATTTACAAATAGAATAATAACCATGAGCCATAAAGATAAGTAAACAAACTTTAACCCCCCCCCATTTCACAAAGTTGCCAATGAAGTGATAATTTTTTTGTTGGAGAAAGGAAGTACATAATTTCATTTACTCTGGTGCAGCAAAAATTGCCTTAAAAATCATAAATTTGAAACTCGCCGTCGGTGCAATCCTTCCTCTACTACTTTTAGATACTTTAACTTTTCCTTTACCATTTTAATGATATTGTAATTTTCTATTACTGCATTTTTGCATAGATTTTGTCATTTACACTTTATAGGGACAATACGTCATAAGAAAAATTTCCTGTTTTGAAAAAAATTATATTTCTTAACTTAGGAAATAAGTTTGGGAAGTGATACATTAGTACTTTATGAAACAAACATACAGAGAAAACTTCAGAATACTATTTATAATATTAAACATTTCCAGCAATTTAAACATGTCTCATCTTAAAAATTTAATTTGTAATCTCTCCAAGCAGGAATTCTCACTTTATGGACTAATTTTTTCTTAACAATATCTTATTAAACAGCAGTTATGAAGAAACCTATAAGTACCAACTTTGTTTCCAAGATGGCATTGACATGATAATGATGCAATGCTAAAAAAATCATTCTGCATTTGTTGGAAAAACCCAGACAATTTCCAGTCCAATTTTTTTTTAAATTCAATATGTTTTTTCAAAAGGTTAATTTACAATTCCAGGGTTTCATAAAGTGGGAGTTCATGTGGTGAAATATGAAAAACACATCATAGAAGACACATGATTGGACAAATGAAATAAGATGCAACAAAATACAAATAATATAGTACAAGATGCAGGAAGAATACCCATACCAAATAGGCAAGACAACAACATTTAGGATACCAAAATTTTTAAACATTTAGTTTGAGACTTCATTACAAAGTTTGCAAAATGTAGAGCAAAATACTTAGCCAATCAAATTTCAAACGAAAAGCATTAAATTAAGAAAATAAATAAACAAATATCTACACATTCTATTGTATTATAACTTCATATATCCATTTAAGATATATGCTTCCTAAAAATTGCTATCATTCCATAAACGCTTCTGTATATGCATTTTGGATTTTGTAAAAACCGTAAGTAAACTAGAGCTTTCTTTAGTTACTATTTCAATATATTTAGAGAAAGAAAGATGGAAAAGCTTGAGGTAATATAATTTTAATAAAAGACTAAACATAAAATTTCAAATTAGGTAAATTATTGTTTTTTAATAAAAAGAAATTTTAAACTCTGTGCATCAAATACTATTGCAGTCAGTTTTCATGATCATAATAATATCACAGTTTTTAATGCGGAATAATTCTCATAATTTAGCACCTGAATGAAAGAGTGCAAAGTCATAGTTTCAAGTAAAACTTTGGAAAATGATTTGACAGTTTTTAAACAGCAACAATTTTACCTTTATAGGAAGGCATGGTTCCCTAACTGGACGATTTCTGGGAAAGAAAATAACAATTAAATATTTATTATTTTATTTAAATAATATATTAAATAATTATACGATTTAAACACCGATTCTAATCGTCGGCACTTTTCCGATGAAAACGTTGATGCCACTCAATGAAAATTTGAAAGAAACCGGAAATGGAAATAACTAAATTGTTTGTTAAGCCTCAACATTATTATGAAGTGTAGAAATATTACTGTTTATTTTACTAACTATAAGATTATTCATATGAAAAAAAAATCAAGCCAAGAATTTTTCCAAGATTAATAATGATGAATTATAACTTCATTACAAATCTTCTGTTCGCATAATGAATTATTTTGAACCCATTTCTGTGGAATGGAAACCAGAAAAACGGCCTTTGAAGGGTGTGAAATTTTATGATATTTTAATCCCGGTCAGACTGGGACTGACCTCTTTTGACATGCTATGGAGAGATGTTACCATCCCCCCCAGCAAGTCGCAGCTAGGGTTTTCAGCTCCCGGGAACAGCTTAAGATTTCGGGCCCCCTCCTGTTTACAAAGTGTGGAAATATTTCATTTGAAATTTCCTAAAACTCTGATATTCTGATTATCTGATATTCCTTAAAAAAAGATATCGGCAAAAAACACTACCAAAGCAAATTCTAATACTTTTTTATTTCAAACTAAAATGTCTAATATACAGTTGCCGTTAAATATATTATAAATTTGCCATATCATTTTTAAAAATATACATCGTGAGGATTTCATAATTAGCTCACGTGGAAGATCTTTGTATGAACTTTTAGGCAGCTATAATCTTTTGTCTTCAAGTATCTTTAACTATTACCATTCCCAACATATCCTTTTCCATACATTTCTAAGAAATCATTTAGAAAGGGGCTAAATTGTTAAGACTACAAGGTGCACCGACAAAGCTTCAAAATTCACTAAATATTATTTCCCAAAGAAGTTGGTGATTGCATTTATGTTGCATAATATAATTAAAAAAAAACAAGCGCAGACAATTCAACTATAACAAAGGAATATGCTGAGTACTAAATTACAATCAAAAATACAATGAATCTGAAGCAGAACTCGGGACACAGTTCATGCCACCGTTGCATGTGATTTCCCCACGAGACATTCGCCTGACCACTGACTTTACTTCACTGCTCTGATTACACACTGGATTTGATTAAGGCTCCTATAAAGGGATATGTCTAGCAGCTCTAGATTTAATAGGTGGCGTCATTTCTTGAAGGGAAGTTAAAGTATCTGTGAGAACGCCACAGAAGTAATTTATGAGAATTAATACCATGCAACATATTAATTATGCTAGTCTCATGTTTTACAATAGTAACGATATTAAAAACAAACAAAATAAAAAAAAATAAATAAATAAATAAAAAAAACAGAATTTCAAAACTATATCAATCAGCATAATATTGATATAATTCTATTAAGTGAAACAACACAAACTATTAAGTGAAACATCACCTCAAGCCAAACAACAGATTTAAAATAGCCAATTATAACATCTTTAGATCTGACCGTTTACATAACCGTGGTGGCGGTATGGCTATCATCAATGAAGATCGGTACGGTTATCATCATCTAACTCATTCTAAGAACTGCATCAACTCTCTTGGATATTCTCCATTTCCCAAAGAAAAGCACAAATATCCATCTGACATTCTCCATCCTTAACAATTTTTACCCATACTAGATTCTTCAGTTCACTGATTTAGACCTTCGAGCTGAAACTCACCTTATTCGTAGACTGATGGCGGCCACTTGACTTTTACTTTGGTCTTTTTTGTTTTACTGATGTTCTTCCCCTGCTACTGAGTAAAAGGAGGCGTTACTTTCTAAAACGCAAATTCACTATATGTTCTTAGTATGAAGAAATGCCTTAATAGTACTATTTTTCCTCTACCCCTCATGTCGAAGCATGTGCCTGTGTCTTAAACAGTAATAACAAAGAATCTCTAATAACTGCGGCTTATAAGCCTCCCAACAATAGCATTAATACACAAGATTTAGATTACATCTTTAACTTAGGCTATCCAGCTGCTATAGCTGGAGACCTAAATAGTAAGCATGTAAACTGGAACTGTAGAGAAAACAACCCTGATGGAATTATTCTCAGTAGTTATATTAACAACAACCCGGATATCAATAACTATGGTCCAAACGAACCTACTCATCTTCATCAAATTTCTAATACTGCTCATGTATTAGACATTCTAATTACCATTAATATCCCTCAAACACCACATCTCCTAGTGGATAATGAAATTACCTCAGATCATGTACCCGTCCGCTTCACTTTATATGGCTTAAAGCATGGTCTTTCGCCTATAAAGTGTCACATCAAATGGGAAAACTATACCTATCGCCTTGAAGAAAATATATCTGTAACCACTTCGTTGACTAACAGCAATGAAATTCATGGTGCTACCGACTATCTTAACATTAAAATTAATGAAGCCAGCAACTATGCTAAATTTATACCAGATCAGACTAATTTTATGTTCCCACACAATATAAAACAGAATATTACAGAAGAAAAATAAACCAATAATGATGCGGGTGCTCTCCGAAGCACCCGCACCAATATTGGATCCATTCTAGATGAAAATAATACTAAAATTTATGACCAGAAGAAAATTGTCAACCTCTTTTGTGATACCTACGAACAGCAGTTCATTTTAAATAATTTCCCACATCCAAATTATATAATATTACCAGTCACGTGACCAACTTCCTCTGCAAAGATCCTGAAAATCCAAACAAACCGACTTCTAAAAAAATTCAAAAATTAATTAAGAAGCTAAATCCAAAGACAGCCTCTGTATATGACAACGTCACTAATAAGACCCTGCAAAATCTCCCAAGGAAAGGCATCGTCCTTGTAACTAATTTATTTAATGCTTGTTTACGACTTAATACATTTCCTAAAAACTGGAAACATGCCATCCTAACGGTCATTAGCTGGCAAAGCTGGAATCATACTAGTAATTTCAGACCGATAAGCCTACTTCCTGCAATTACCAAACTTTTCGAAAGGCTTATCGAAGCACATTTCACTGCCTTTATTAACGATCATAACATCATCAAGGATCATCAATTCGGTTTTCGTCAAGGTTTTTCTACGACACAGCGTATCGTGGAATTTATAGTCGAGAACTTCAACAAAAAAGAAGTAGTTACTGCTATTTTTATCAATATAGAGAAAGCCTTTGATAAAGTTTGGAATTACGGCCTTATCATCAAACCCATGAATTACAACTTTCCACCTGCAATTATTCATCTAATTGCTGATTTTCTGAAGAACAGAACCTTTCAAGTCAGGATTCAAGATAATTACTCCACCAGCAGAAAATTTCACGCGGGTTTACCACAACGGTCGGTAATTTCCCCGCTACTTTATAATTTATACGTTTATGATTTCCCTAATATCGAAAATATATTCACAACTTGGTATGCGATGATACGGCATTCTTATGTCCCTCACTCAACCCTTACCATGCAAGAAATAAATTACAGGACGCTATTGACTACATCTCACCCTGATTTAAGGAATGGAAAATCAAAATTAACCCATAAAATATAAAATAATCTATTTCAGAAAAGGCAATATCCCTCCAGATATAGAAGAAATTAAAATGAACGGACAAGTCATGTAACGTGACCGCCAAGTTAAATATTTAAGTGTCTACCTAGACCAGAAACTTACCTTCAGTTATCATGTCAACTACATCAAAGATAAAGCACAACGCGCCTTAAAGGATATTTACCCACTAATGAGCAAGTACTCCGAATTAAATCTCAACACTAAAAAGAACTCTCTATTTACAGGCCATCAGACCAATAATATACCGCTCCGGCGTGGGCAGCTATTTCACGCACTAATAGATCCAAACTTCGAAGTTTCCAAAGTAAAACACTCAGATTTCTATCTAACTCACCATGGTTCGCAGGAACGCTGTTATCCACAACTCACTGAAGATTTTACCTTTAGATGCTGAATTGTTAAAGATCACCTACAAATTCTATGAAAAATCTGATTCCTCCACCCACGAAGTCATTAAAAACACAGGGGAGTGCGATTATCTTATTGAACAGCCGCATAAACGGCTCGGAGCTATCCATCACAGCGTCAGATGGTAATTCATGTACATATTTTATTTTTTTCATCTATTTAACCAAGATTTTATTTCCTCCTTTATTTTATTTTATGGACTTATGCAGACTTTTGAATTGTGTATCACGTGACAATCTACTCCCCTATGAGTGCTACGCTACTAGTACTTTCGCCTCAGACCTGTAAATATTATTTTCTTCATTTCTCCATTTTTTTAATAAGTTCAAAATCTCTGGAACCTGTAAATATTATTTTCTTCATTTACTTTACGATATTGTGTGAAATTACGATAGTGTGTAAAAGATATGCCATAGCTAAAAGACATACCAGGTGTTCTAAACTGGTGGTACGCAAGAGAAAAATAGGTGGTACGCAAAGAAGCAAAGTATTTTTAACTATTAAAAGAAAAATTAAAATCCCAACATCCTGATTGAGTTTTTTCTAACGCTCGTAAATTTATGTCTGAGCATTATTCAAGAGTGGTGGTGGTAGTAGTACTTTGTAGTGGTGGTACTAAAGGTTTTCAATTTTTGTTTAGATGCTACGCATTAGTCAAAAGATTGAGAACAGCTGCATATTATGTCTGATGCCTGATGTCACTTAATTGCTTTTATTGCTTACATCTGCGAACAACAGATAGCGACATATATGCTTCGTCTATCCAACGAAGACTTCAACAGTGGCCCATAGATGGAGCCACACCTGAAGACAGCGCACTTTAATTAAGCGGACAGAATTTTTCCTTATTTTAGAAAGTTAAGGACTCTTACAAGTCCTTAGAAATAGCTCGCAATTACCATTTAATACGGCTGCTTACAGGTATTAGTGGCGGAGATATTTTACAACTGAATGAGCATAAGATGAAAAGTTAAGAGGTGTTAGCAATTTCCATAATTCACCGCCAGATGACGGCATCGTCACTGAAAATTAGAATGTAATTAAAGTGAGATAAAAATTTAATCTCGAGCGAGAATGATACTAGCAAGGCCAACTAG